CGATGTCCTCCTATAGGAGCATCGTGATACTCAAACATGATCCGAAAACGCAGATCAGTATCATCTGGAATGATAACACGTGGTGTGTCACCAGAAATGGCTGTGTAATACAGTAAACCGTTGCGAGTAGTGTATCGATCTGATGCAGATCGATACGCAGACGATAATCGTTTCAACGATTCTCGGGATGGTTGGGAGAGATGTGACAACAACTTCACAATCTCACCATCTTGGGCGTTTGCCCACCTCACATCATCATACAACGTTGTAGATGGGACTGAGGACGTCATAACCGCAACAGTGACTGTCTCACTGTTGGGTTCGCGACTGGTTCAAAATCGGGACGACGTGATAGTGCATCAGCGACGACATTAAGTCGTCCTGGTTTGTACTCGACCGTAAAGTTGTATTCTGCAAAGAATGACAACCACCGCGCCATTCGTTGTGAAAGGTGCGGGCTGTTTACGGCCGTGCGTAATGACGCATGGTCAGTGTAAACAATGAAGGTTCTATCTCCTAATAGATAGACTCTGAACTTCGCGAGTGCTTACTTCATAGCAAGTAGCTCCTTGTCATGCACTGGATAGTTCTGATCAGCTGGTTGCAGCTGACGCGACTGATAGCAGACGACGCTTTCAACGCCTTCAAGATCGTACTGCATTAGTGCACAGCCGATTGCGAAATCGCTGGCATCACAGACCACATGAAATGGCCTGTCCTGATCGGCTATTGCTAGGACTGGGGATTGTATCAAGCTCTGCTTGATACCATCAAAGGAGCGCTGACATTCAGCGTTCCATAACCACCTCTCGTTCTTTTTCAACAAACGAGAGAGGTGCACAGTCATCTCGGCGTAATTGCGTGAATACTTATGCAAATACGCCGCTAGCCCAAGGAATTTTCGAAGACCTTTGACATCAACCGGCACAGGCCAGTCGGTGATCGCCTTGATCTTTTCGGGATCAGGACGTACACCGTTCTTACCAACGATGCACCCAAGAAGTGGTATTTCGCTTGCTGCAAATATACACTTCTTGAGGTTTGCATACAATTGATGCTTTCGCATGATTGTAAGAACCTGTCGGACGTGGTACCTGTGAACCTCAACGTCCGACTTTCCATCCATAGCTCGACTATGGATGAATACGTCATCGAAATAACTCGGCGCAAATCTCGTACTGGTCTCAACAGATGTGATACGCATCTGTTGAACGTGGCAGGGGCATTACTAGGCCCTTGTGGCATTACTAGCCATTCCCAGAGCATGCCGCTAGGCGTGCTAACTGCGGTATAGGTTATATCCCGTTCCCGCATAAGGATTTGATAGAAGCCATCCATCAAATCCATGGACGCAAAGATGGTACTCTTTGACATACCATCAATGATTACGTCCTTCCTCGGTATCGGCGTCTGAGCCGGTACCGTTGCAGCATTCAACTTGTTAAATGCATGCACTATCCGCCACCCTCCTGTTGCTTTTCGCACACAGAAGGTCGGAGAGCTATGTGGGGAAGTTGATTCCCTCACATGGCCCGCAGCTAAACGATCGGCAGAGAACTTGTCGATCGCAAGTACTTGTTCACGAGGCAGTGGCCACTGCTTCATGACACAGTACTTCGAGCCTGGTTTAAGCTCAACCTCGTGTTGAATACCTTTATCCTTCGGTAATTCGCACGGAACAGTTACAGGGAATACATCCTTGAATTCAACCAAATCTTCATAGAGAGGATTTGTCTTGAGCGATTCCCACGATTGGGGGTCATATCGCACAATTCGTGTCTTTTCATCCAGGACACTCTCGTCCATAGATGAACTACTGAGAACTCTCTCGTTCTCAGTAAACACTGTTGCTGACCTTATGTCATTTACACACTCGTCGTCAGCGACGAGTACGCAGATCTGCTTGACTTTGCCACTACGCAGATCACGCAAGAACCTTTTATGTTCGAGCGTTGGCAACTGAGTGATCTCCGAAGTCAACTTCGGAGGCGCAATCAGATCAAGTGTATAAGCGCCTACACTTGATCCGTTATTGACTATGACATTCAATGTCTCTGTCATTTCCTGGGGACTTATTCCCTCAGGCCTCGAAGGACTTTTTCCTTCGTCTTCCCGGGGACTTATTCCCGCGGGTTTCGGGGAACTTATTTCCGCCGTATTTGTAATCTTGGGACTAATTCCCTTTACTTCCTGTAGCTGGGGTTGCGCAACCACAGCGATATCCTCTACGAAAGACTCTCCAGTCGATCTAGGATTATCGTTTCGCTTAACCTGAGCGATCGATTGTTTTTCTTCTAGATGTTTCCCGCTAGGGATACATCCTTGTCCCATTCCACCCGACTTATTCGAGTGGTGAACCTTCGGCGCAGCCTGTGTTTCCTCACAGCCGCCGGAACTTTGCTCCGAAGTGTAACTGTTTGTTACACTAAGGTTTTGTGCAGTCGTACTAACGACCGTACCACAAGTGAGGCCATCGCACTCACTCGTAGTACATCCACACGCTTGTGGACGCTCCAAAACGTTCATCAGATGGCCATCTGATGAACAAGCGGCAGGCATCGTTACTGTTTGATGTTGCCAGTTTACCCGTGGTTCGTACCTTCTGAGCCACGGTATTCCAAGGATGACATCAAATTTGTCATCCAAATCCAATACGATACAGTCATCATCATATTGGGTATCTTCTAGCGTATAGTGGATCTTCACTATACGCTTCGTGACGGTTACGGATGCGCCTGTCGCAAGACGTACCGTCATCCTCGTAGGAGGCGTGTCACATTCACTGAACTCAAAGTGACCATCTTCTAGCGATTGGCGTCGCACAAAATTGTTGGGCGCCCCACAATCGACTAGAGCTCGAAGGGACAACTTATTCGTCACTTCGAGTTTCAAGGTAATGAGTGAGATCTCATTACCTAGAGCAGCAACGCACAACGTTTGTGTGTTGGGAGCAACAATCATCAAGAGGCCTACAAATTCTCTTGACGTTGCTGGACCAGTAGGGTGCTCCGCACCTACTGATCCTGTCCGTTTTTTGACGGTCCATCCCGTTGTTGCGTCTTTGCACCAACTGCGGACCCGCGTCCCTGCCCCTTTCTCATGGGCGGACGGTCACTACGCCCAGTGTCGCGAGACACTGGACGAGGGGCACTACACTCGTAAGCGTAGTGTCCTGTCTTTTGACATCTGTTGCATCTCTGCAACTTCTTGTAGCCTGTAGAGCGAGTCTTCTCGCTCTCTACATAACAGAGTTCCATCGGCTATGGACCTCCGTTGTCATATCGTCTCGGTTGACGATATGATGTCGAGCTGGCGCGAGCCTGTCTCAGACTGAAGTCTTCCTGCTCCGCAATGGAAATGGCTTGTTCTAGTGAATCTAGTTCAAGCCGGAACAGGTGAGTCTTGACGGGACCGTCCTCAAGACCCTGCATGAACACCGAAACCAACGTGTGTTCATCCACCGGATTGGAACTTATACAACTCGTGAGATGTCGTATATGTTGAGCGTAAGCGTGCACATCACGCTTACTCTGCTTGAGCTTCAAGAGTTCGGTTCGAGCCCTGAACTCAGCTCTAGGCGGTTCAAACGTTTGTCTGAGCCGCGACTTGAAGACTTCCAACGACCCAAACGCATATGGGTCGTGCAACTTGAGCCCCAGTGCCCAAGTCTTGGCACGTCCTGCCAGATTTGATTGGGCAAATGCAACTTGCATATCCCCGTCGTCGATGCGACGCGCCCTTATGGCGTCATCCAATTCGACGAACCATCTCAAGAGGGAGTCTTCTTCGACCCCCCTATACTTGGAGATGTCAATCTTCAAAGTCTCGGGCCGACGCGAGTGCATCGACCCGCCAGCAGCAGCCTGCTGCTGTCTCAACAGACCAAACTGTTGAGCACCTTGTCCTCTCAGCAACTCTGCTTGTTGAGAACCTTGTTGGTGAAGCAAGACTACTTTCTCGCGTACAGCGTCAAGTTCATTTTGAATGAACTTGGCGATAGTAGCATGTTGGGCATCTCTATTGAGAGCCTCTAGCATGACGCTAACAGCATGGATGCCCATGGTTGAACCCATTCGTTCAACCGCATACCATTCGACATCGCTCAAATGGGAGTAGCCGTCACACGTAGCGTGAAAGCTTTGGTCATCTTCATCATCCAACATATTCATGTTGGATGTGAACGCGGTCCTTGGACGGACTACAAAGTGCTACCAGGTGTAACGGGCACCCTGAACCTTGTACTGGTGACAGTACAAGCTACTTATTCTAATGACAGAATAAGGCGATGCCTCGTAACTTCACGTACACTCGTACGTGCAGAGGAAGACGGTAAGAAGAAGCGAGTACTTGGTTAAAGTAAAAAGTAGAACTGTATTGATCATAGTTAATGTCTGCAATAAATCACTATTTATATTCATCTAGCTATGTAACGGGGCACCCTGAAGCTTGTACTGGTGACAGTACAAGCTGCTTATTCTGATGACAGAATAAGGCGGTGCCTCGTAACTTCACGTACACTCGTACGTGCAGAGGAAGACGGTAAGAAGAAGCGAGTACTTGGTTAGAGTAAAAAGTAGAACTGTATTGATCATAGTTAATGTCTGCAATAAATCACTATTTATCTTCATCTAACTATGTCTGAATACAAATGTGTAAACCAACTATCTGCTCACCACTCATTGCGTGCGTCTGTCGTAGCGCGTCTTCTTTGGTTGACGTAATGGCCTACATCAACCAATCAGGAACTACTCGTAAGTGCTACAGAAAAGTTGTCCTGACGACAATATTCTGAGAATATAACTCTTATAGTTATATTCTATTAACAATTTCTTATAAATTGTTATGTAACGATTCACCCCGTTACATCACCCCCCCTTAACCATCAGTCACTTTAGTGACTGATTGACTTAATGGATACTCGTCCCAAATCAGTTGGGACAGGTTTGCACTTGTTGGTCCGAGTCCACTTTCCAACATCTCATCGCATGGTTAACAAGCCCATGCGATGCGCGAGCAAGGCCGCCGAGAGCGCGTCCGCACGTCTTTGTGAGGACGCTGAAGCAGAAACCACAGCAACTGATGTCTCATCGGTTGCTGAAGCGACTCAGCCTGTGTCACCTGGTGATGCAGGCGCTCGTCATGAAGACACTCGTGTCTTCACAGAGTATGAGCTCGTGTCTCATACTCTCCCGATGCGGAAGATGGATCTGTATCGACGGCGATCGATACCAAGCCGCCTGCCAAGCGTGGCATGGATGACGCTATGCGTCGTAGCTTCTTTGGTTCATCTGATGAATTAGATGAACCATCGCCGAAGCGAAGGCACTCGAGGTCGCGAGACTCGGGCGCTAATAGTGGTGTCGGTTCTCCTATGGACACCACTTCACAGCGAGGTGCCAGTACTTCTGTCGGCACGTCGCAGGAAGAGCGGGACCGCAATGTGTTGCGTCTCGCTCCTGAGAAGAAGGCATGGATGCCTCCTAAATCAGTCATGGATCACTTGTCGGCGACGACGAGTGATCGTTATCGAACACGATTGTTCGATTCGTCAAGGATCCATCACCTTGACCCCAGCGCGAAAAACTATCGCGCTGAGAATGAATTCTTCATCGATGCTTTCTTTAGACATCGATGATACAGCGGGAATCACAAACGTGATGGTCCCTCACTACTTCAGGCGTGGAACGCCTACATCCATAACCTCGAGGATGTAGGTCGTGACGCTTGGAACGACAAACTTATCAAAGCTCGTGATAAGTTTGAAAAGCGAACCCCGACAGGTGCACGCTACAAGCTGCATCGTCTGTCAAGGGAGAAAGGATTACCATGCCTCTCATGGGGAGACTCGTGCCCATGTTTTGTGAACAACTCTGCACGAGCACCTAAGGAGGCTTACCTCCTTACCAGCCCGTGGTGGCGCGTACGTATCTCTACCAACATGTACGAAGGGATTGACAACCTGAAATCCCTTTACGACCGTGCCGGGAAGACTTTATCCAGCGGTCCTTCTGCGGCACAGGATGTGCCGCGTCGTGCTGCTCAACCAGACCCAGTACTTCAATCATCAGTTGGGAACGGGGCTCCCAAGTATCCCAGGATGGGGGATAGCCGCGCCACCGGACGAGATAACTCGTCCGACGTCCGTTCAAGTCGCGGTGGTTCAACAGCTGCTCAACTAGATAGCGCTGGCCACCGCGAGAGTCCTATAATGGAGGTGGAGGTGGAGGAAAGACGCTCTCCACACGATCATGGGGATCCGTGTGTTCCCAAGAGCTTCTTTGATCGCGTAACGCAAGGGTTACGCAACGATCTCGAACATGAGCGAAACAGGCGTCTCCAAATGGCGGACACTGTCTCGAAGCATCGAGCTGAGTTTGCCTTTGCTCAGCTTGAGAACGAGAGAGCTCTGACATCTCTTCGTGACGAGCTAAGGGTAGATCGTGGGATTGTTGATCGGTCTCGGGATGAGATAAATGCTCTTTAGATCCTTGTCGATGCCCATCATCGGGAGCACAAGGCTCTCTGCGAGATGCTTGAGCGCAAGGGCGTTCTTCATCGGAAGAAGCAGCGTACTGATGGTACGGCTTAAGCCGACCAACGTAAAACGTGGGATGCGTTCGCATCTTACGTGGTAACTCGATCGTGTATGCATTGCCTAGGCGGTGCAATACACGAAATGGGCCAAGGTACTTGGGTAGTAGTTTACTGCTACCCAAGTTAGTCACTACATGCTTTGGAAGATTAACCGTAGACAGTAGGACTAAGTCACCTTTATCAAATGAAAGAGTGCTTGCCCTTCCATTCTTGTCAGCGTTTTGCTTTTGCTTATCCACCGCTTCGGCGATGGAGTCTTGCACAAACCGGACTACCGTTTCACGAGCCAGTATGAACTCATCTGATGACTCGTTAGCTTCAGTGTGCTGTGAGCGCACTGCAGCAACAACAACCTTTTCTTCAGTGAGGGCTTCCGCACTCTCACTGGCATCATTGTCTTCATTGAGGGCTTCCGCACTCTCACTGGCATCATCTTCTTCGATATCGATGTTATCGATATCGGCATCATACGCAATGACTTCTTCGTCAGAGCGTGATGAGCGTGAACCAAATCGGTTTTTGCTCGCGCGAGTCCCTCCCCCCCTTAAACCAAAGTTACACTCTAGTAAGGTGGGTACACGCGGATGGCGCAAGCCATTCACGTAAAACGGTGTATGTGTCGTGGACGCATGCACCGAGTTGTTAATAGCAAACTCTACCATTGGCAAAAACTCACTCTAACTCTTAAAGGAGTGTACGTACCCTCGAAGTATCTCTTCAAGGACACGATTGGCACGTTCCGTCTGACCATCTGACTCTGGATGATCAGTTTTCGACATCTTCAAGCGCGTTCCGAGTGATTTGAACACGGAACGCCAGAAATCAGCAGTGAATCGTGGACTCTGTAACGGTTTACTGTATTATACAGCCATTTCTGGTGACACACCACGTTGTCATTCCAGATGATACTGATCTGCGTTTGCAGGATCATGTTTCCGAGGTATCACGATGCTCCTATAGGAGGACATCGTGGCCGGGAGAAACATATCTCACGGTGAATCGAGACTTTACCGGCCCCGCCAGTATCAGTTTGTGCGAAAGTATGTTCGCGCATGCGGTTCGCCAACGAGTGGTCAAGTCCTTCACTGCGTGCACCTTTACTGCCTCTACCGGTCCGGCTGAGTGCTGGGAATCCATCAATGGATTTCGTCTTCGGGTTACCCAAAGACGCACGCGGGAATACGGGCATTCTCGTATTTGTTGCAACAGATTCATAGCAAAATGGTACACCTTGTGGCTGATGTACCAGAGTCAATCACGGCAAGTGGCTGTGCTTGTGTTCCTTATTGACACCCATCTTCCGACTTCATGGGTTGCTCCCGTGAACCCGTATCAGACAGAGATCCACGATTCACTGCTGATTTCTGGCGTTCCGTGTTCAAATCACTCGGAACGCGCTTCTTGAAGATGTCAACATCTGATCATCCAGAGTCAGATGGTCAGACGGAACGTGCCAATCGTGTCCTTTGAAGAGATACTTCGAGGATACGTACACTCCTTTAAGAGTTGGAGTGAGTTTCGCCAATGGTAGAGTTTGCTATTAACAACTCGGTGCATGCGTCCACGACATACATGCCGTTTTACGTGAATGGCTTGCGCCATCCGCGTGTACCCACCTTTACTAGAGTGTAACCATGGTTTGGGTGTGGGGAGGGACTCGCGCGAGCAAAACCGATTTGGTTCACGCCTCATCACGCTCTGACGAAGAGGTCATTTTGCGTCTTGATGCCGAAGATATCGATAACATTGATATCGAAGAAGGATGCCAGTGAGATGCGGAAGTCCTCACTGAAGAAAAGTGTTGATAGCTGGCAGCAGTGCACTTAACAGCGCACTGAAGCCAATGAGTCATCAGATGAGTTCATACTGGCTCGTGAACGGTGTCCGTTTCCTGGCAAGAATCCATCGCCGAAGCGGTGGATAAGCAAAAGCAAAACGCTGACAAGAATGGAAGGGCAAGCACTCTTTTCATTTGATAAAGGTGACTTAGTCCTACTGTCTACGGTTAATCTCTTCCAAAGCATATTAACTTGGGTAGCAGTAAACTACCCAAGTACATTGGGCCCATTTCGTGTATTGCACCGCCTAGGCAATGCATACACGATCGAGTTACCACGTAAGATGCGAACGCATCCACGTTTTTACGTTGGTCGGCTTAAGCCGTACCATCAGTACGCTGCTTCTTCCGATGAAGAACGCCCTGCGCTCAAGCATCTCGCAGAGGAGCCTTGTGCCCCGATGGTGGGCATCAACAAGGGTCTGAAGAGCAGTTATCTCAGCCTGAGACCGATCAACAATCCCACGGATCTACCCTTAGCTCGTCACGAAGCAGATATCAGAGCCTCTCGTTCTCAAGCTGAGCAAAGGCAACCAGCTCTCGGATGCTTCAAGGCAGTAACCACCATTTGGAGACGCCTATTCCGCTCATGTTCAAGATCGTCGCGTAACCCTTGCGTTACGCCGCCGATCAAAGATGCTCTGGAACACACCGATCCACATGGATCGTGTGGGAGGGAGCGTCTTTCCTCCTCCTCCACCTCCATTATAGGACTCCCTCTCGCGGTGGCCAGCACTATCTAGTTGAGCAGCTGTTGAACCACCGCGACGTGAATGACGTCGGACGAGTTATCTCGTCCGGTGGCGCGGCTATCCCCGTCCTGGGATACTTGGGAGCCCTGCTCCCAACTGGATGATCGACGTACTGGGTCTGGTTGATTGTACGACGCGGCACATCCTAAGCCGCAGAAGGACCACCTGAGAAAGTCTTCCCGGCACGGTCGTAAAGGTATTTCAGGTTGTCAATCCCTTCGTACATCTCAGTAGAGATACATTGCTTGTCACCGCGGGCTGGTAAGAAGGTAAGCTCCTTAGGTGCTCGTGCAGAGTTGTTCACACACAGTGGGCACGAGTCTCCCCATGAGAGGCAGGGTAATCCTTTCTCCTTGACAGACGATGCAGCTTGTAGCGTGCACCTGTCGGGTTCGCTTTTCAAACTTATCACGAGCTTTGATAAGTTTGTCGTTCCAAGCGTCACGACCTACATCCCGAGGTTATGGATGTAGGCGTTCCACGCCTGAAGTAGTGAGGGACCATCACGTTTGTGATTCCTCACTGTACCATCGATGTCTAAAGAAAGCATCGATGAAGATTCATTCCTCAGCGCGATAGTTTTTCGCGCTGGGGTCAAGGTGATGGGTCCTTGACGAATCGAACAACTGTAGCCTGATAACGATCACCGTCGTCGCCGACAAGTGATCCATGACAGATTTAGGGAGGCATCCATGTCGCCTCCTGGAGCGAGACGCAAGACATTGCGGTCCTGCTCTTCCCGTGACGTGCCGACAGAAGGACTGGCACCTGTTGCGAAGTGGTGTCCATAGGAGAACCGACACTACGTTAGCGCCCGAGTCTCGCGACCTCGAGCGCCTTCTGCTTCGGCGATGGTTCATCTGATTCATCAGATGAACCAAAGATGCCGCGACGCAAAGCATCGTCCATGCCACGCTTGGCAGGCGGCTTGATTCAATCCGCCGTCGATACGGATCCGTCATCCGGGTATCAGGAGAGTATGAGACACCGAGCTCATACTCTGTGAAGACACGAGTGTCTTCATGACGAGCGCCTGCATCACCAGGTGATACAGGCTGATCGCTTTAGGGGCAACCGATGAGGCATCGGAGCTAGAAGTGGTTTTTGGAAGTCTCGGCGTCCGCACAGAGACGTGCAGACGCGCCTCGGCGGCCTTTGTCGCGCATCTTAAGCTTGTTAACTATGCGATGAAATGTTGGAAAGTGGACTCGACCAACAAGTGCAAACCTGTCCCAACTGATTTGGACGAGTATTTAATCAATCAGTCACTAAAGTGACTATGGTTAAGGGGGTGATGTAACGGGGTGAATCGTTACATAACAATTTATAAGAATTGTTTATAGAATATAACTATAAGAGTTATATTCTCTCAGAATTTTGTCATAAGGACAACTTTTCTGCAGCACTTACGAGTAGTTCCTTGCACTGGTTGATATAGGACATTACATCAACCAAAGAAGACGCGCCACGACAGACGCACGCAATGAGTGGTGAGCAGATGGTTGATGTACACATTTGTATTTAGACATAGTTAGATGAAGATAAATAGGGATTTCATTAACAGACATTAACTAGGAAAATACAGTTCTACTTTTACTTTAACCAAGTACTCAGCTTCTTCTGTCTTCCTCTGCACGTACGAGTATACGAAGTTACGAGGCACCGCCTTATTCTGTCAGTCAGAATACGCGTAGCTGTACTGTCACCAGTACAAGCTTCAGGGTGCCTAAGTTACAAGAACTGTATTTATAATAGTTAATGTCTGTTATCAAATCACTATTTATCTTCATCTAACTATGTCTAAATACAAAGTGTGTAAATCAATTATCTGCTCACCACTCATTGCGTGTCTGTCGTGGCGCGCGCCTCTTCGTTGGTTGATATAATGGCCTATATCAACCAATTAGGAACTACTGTAAGTGCTACAGAATATTGTCCTTATGACAATATTCTGAGAATATAACTCTTATAGTTATATTCTATTAACAATTTCTTATAAATTGTTATGTAACGATTCACCCTGTTACATCACCCCCTAACCATCAGTCACTTTTAGTGACTGATTGACTAAATGGATACTCGTCCCAAATCATTTGGGACAGGGTTTGCACTTGTTGGTCCGCGTCCACTTTCCAACATCTCATCGCATGGTTAACAAGCCCATGCGATGCGCGAGCAAGGCCGCCGAGAGCGCGTCTGCACGTCTCCTGTGCGGACGCCGAAGCAGAAACCACAGCAACTGATGTCCTCATCGGTTGCTGAAGCGACTCAGCCTGTATCACCTGGTGATGCAGGCGCTGGTCATGAAGACACTCGTGCGTCTTCACAGAGTACGAGCTCGGTGTCTCGTACTCTCCTGATACGGATGACGGATCCGTATCGACGGCAATTGAATCCAAGCCGCCTGCCAAGCGTGGCATGGACGATGCTTTGCGTCGTAGCATCCTTTTGGTTCATCTGATGAGTCAGATGAACCATCGCCGAAGCGAAGGCGCTCGAGGTCGCGAGACTCGGGCGCCAATAGTGGTGTCGGTTCTCCAATGGACAACACTTCACAGCGAGGTGCCAGTACTTCTGTCGGCACGTTGGCAGAAGAGCGGGACCGCATGTGTTGCGTCTCGCTCCAGAAAAGAAGGCATGGATGCCTCCTAAATTCGTCATGGATCACTTGTCGGCGACGACGAGTGATCGTTATCGAACACGATTGTTCGATTCGTCAAGGATCCATCACTCTGACCCCAGCGCGAAAGACTATCGCGCTGAACATGAACCTTCTTCATCGATGCTTTCTTCAGACATCGATGATAGCTACAAGTGGGAATCCCACTAAACGTGATGGTCCTCACTACTTCAGGCGTGGAACGCCTAAACATCCATAACCTCGAGGATGTATGTGGTGACTTTGAACGACAAAACTTGATCAAAGCCTCGATAAGTTTGAAAAGCGAACCCCGACAGGTGCACGCTACAAGCTGCATCGTCTGTCAAGGGAGAAAGGATTACCCTGCCTCTCTGGGGAGACTCGTGCCCATGTTGTGTGAACAACTCTGCACGAGCACCAATGAGGCTTACCTCCTTACCAGCCCGTGGTGGCGCGTACGTATCTCTACTGAGATGTACGAAGGATTGACAACCTGAAATCCCTTTACGACCGTGCCGGGAAGACTTTCTCCGGCGGATCCTTCTGCGGCACAGGATGTGCCGCGTCGTACTGCTCAACCAGACCCAGTACGTCAATCATCAGTTGGGAGCGGGGCTCCCAAGAATCCCAGGACGGGGATAGTTGCGCCACCGGACGAGGTAATCTCGTCCGACGTCCAGTTCACGTCGCGGTGGTTCAACAGCTGCTCAACTAGATAGCGCTGGCCACCGCGAGAGTCCTCTAATGGAGGTGGAGGAGGAGGAAAGACGCTCTCCACACGATCATGTGGATCGGTGTGTTCCCGAGAGCTTTCTTTGATCGCGTAACGCAAGGGTTACGCGACGATCTCGAGCATGAGCGGGATAGGCGTCTCCAAATGGCGGACACTGCCTCGAAGCATCGAGCTGAGTTTGCCTTTGCTCAGCTTGAGAACGAGAGACTCTGACATCCCTTCGTGACGAGCTAAGGGTAGCTCGTGGGATTGTTGATCGGTCTCGGGCTGAGATAACTGCTCTTCAGACCCTTGTTGATGCCCACCATCGGGAGCACAAGGCTCTCTCTGCGAGATGCTTGAGCGCAAGGGCGTTCTTCATCGGAAGAAGCAGCGTACTGATGGTACGGCTTAAGCCGACCAACGTAAAACGTGGGATGCGTTCGCATCTTACGTGGTAACTCGATCGTGTATGCATTGCCTAGGCGGTGCAATACACGAAATGGGCCAATGTACTTGGGTAGTAGTTTACTGCCACCCAAGTTAGTCACTACATGCTTTGGCAGATTAACCGTAGACAGTAGGACTAAGTCACCTTTATTAAATAAAAAGAGTGTTTGCCCTTCCATTCTTGTCAGCGTTTTGTTTTTGCTTATCCACCGCTTCGGCGATGGAGTCTTGCACAAAACGGACTACCGTTTCACGAGCCAGTATGAACTCATCTGATGACTCGTTAGCTTCAGTGCGCTGTGAGAGCACCGCAGCAACATCAATCTTTTTCTTCAGTGAGGGCTTCCCACTCTCACTGGCATCATCTTCTCTTCGATATCGATGTTATCGATATCGGCATCAAACGCAATGACCTCTTCGTCAGAGCGTGATGAGCGTGAACCAAATCGGTTTTTGCTCGCGCGAGTCCCTCCCCCTTAAACCAGAGTTACACTCTAGTAAGGTGGGTACACGCGGATGGCGCAAGCCATTCACGTAAAACGGTGTATGTGTCGTGGACGCATGCACCGAGTTGTTGATGGCAAACTCTACCATTGGCAAAAAACTCACTCCAACTCTTAAAGGAGTGTACGTATCCTCGAAGTATCTCTTCAAGGACACGATTGGCACGTTCCGTCTGACCATCTGACTCTGGATGATCAGATGTTGACATCTTCAAGCGCGTTCCGAGTGATTTGAACACGGAACGCCAGAAATCAGCAGTGAATCGTGGATCTCTGTCTGATACGAGTTCACGGGGCAACCCATGAAGTCGGAAGATGGTGTCAATAAAGACACAAGCACAGCCACTTGCCGTGATTGTCTCTGGTACAGCCACAAGGTGTACCATTTGCTGAATCTGTCAACAAATACGAGAATACCTGTATTCCCGTGTGCGTCTTTGGGTAACCTGAAGACGAAATCCATTGAGATGGATTCCCAGCACTCAGCCGGAACCGGTAGAGGCTGTAAAGGTGCACGCAGTGAAGGACTTGACTTCACTCGTTGGCAGACTTCTGCATGCGCGAACATACTTTCGCACAAACTGATACTGGCGGGGCCAGTAAAGTCTCGACTCACCGGGTGAGATATGTTTTCCCGGCCACGATGTCCTCCTATAGGAGCATCGTGATACCGAACATGATCCGCAAACGCAGATCAGTATCATCTGGAATGACAACACGTGGTGTGTCACCAGAAACGGCTGTTAATACAGTAAACCGTTGGCGAGTAGTGTATCGATCTGATGCAGATCGATACGCAGACGACAATCGTTTCAACGATTCTCGGGATGGTTGGGAGAGATGTGACAACAACTTCACTCAATCTCACCATCTTGGGCGTATGCCCGCCTCACATCATCATACAACGTTGTAGATGGGACTGAGGACGTCATAACCGCAACAGTGACTGTCTCACTGTTGGGTCTCGCGACTGTTTCAAAGTCGGGACGACGTGAGAGTGGCATCAGCGACGACATTAAGTCGTCCTGGTTTGTACTCGACCGTAAAGTTGTATTCTGCAAAGAATGACAACCACCGCGCCATTCGTTGTGAAAGGTGCGGGCTGTTCACTGCCGTGCGTAATGACGCATGGTCAGTGTAAACAACGAAGGGTCTATCTCCTAATAGATAGACTCTGAACTTCGCGAGTGCATACTTCATGGCAAGGAGCTCCTTGTCATGCACTGGATAGTTCCGCTCAGCTGGTTGCAGCTGACGCGACTGATAGCAGACGACGCGTTCAACGCCTTCAAGGTCGTACGGCATTAATGCACAGCCGATTGCGAAATCGCTGGCATCACAGACCACATGAAATGGCCTGTCCTGATCGGCTATTGCTAGGACTGGGGATTGTATCAAGCTCTGCTTGATACCATCAAAGGAGCGCTGACATTCAGCGTTCCATAACCACCTCTCGTTCTTTTCAACAAACGAGAGAGGTGCACAGTCATCTCGGCGTAATTGCGTGAATACTTATGCAAATACGCCGCTAGCCCAAGGAATTTTCGAAGACCTTGACATCAACCGGCACAGGCCAGTCGGTGATCGCCTTGATCTTTTCGGGATCAGGACGTACACCGTTCTTACTAACGATGCACCCAAGAAGTGGTATTTCGCTTGCTGCAAAATATACACTTCTTGAGGTTTGCATACAATTGATGCTTTCGCATGATTGTAAGAACCCGTCGGACGTGGTACCTGTGAACCTCAACGTCCGACTTTCCATCCATAGCTCGACTATGGATGAATACGTCATCGAAATAACTCGGCGCGAAATCTCGTACTGGTCTCAACAGATGTGATACACATCTGTTGAACGTGGCAGGGGCATTACTAGGCCCTTGTGGCATTACTAGCCATTCCCAGAGCATGCCGCTAGGCGTGCTAACTGCGGTATAGGGTATATCCTGTTCCCGCATAAGGATTTGATAGAAGCCATCCATCAAATCCATGGACGAAAAGATGGTACTCTTTGACATACCATCAATGATTACGTCCTTCCTCGGTATCGGCGTCTGAGCCGGTACCGTTGCAGCGTTCAACTTGTTAAACGCATGCACTATCCGCCACCCTCCTGTTGCTTTTCGCACACAGAAGGTCGGAGAGCTATGTGGGGAAGTTGATTCCCTCACATGGCCCGCAGCTAAACGATCGGCAAAGAACTTGTCGATCGCAAGTACTTGTCTTCACGAGGCAGTGGCCACTGCTTCATGACACAGTACTTCGAGCCTGGTTTAAGCTCGACCTCGTGTCGAATACCTTTATCCTTCGGTAATTCGCACGGAACAGTTTCAGGGAATACATCCTTGAATTCAACCAAATCTTCATAGAGAGGATTTGTCTTGAGCGATTCCCATGATTGGGAGTCATATCGCTCAATTCGTGTCTTTTCATCTAGGACACTCTCGTCCATAGATGAACTACTGAGAACTCTCTCGTTCTCAGTAAACACTGTTGCTGACCTTATGTCGGTTACACACTCGTCGTCAGCGACGAGTATGCAGATCTGCTTGACTTTGCCACTACGCAGATCACGCAAGAACCTTTTATGTTCGAGCGTTGGCACTGAGTGATCTCCCGAAGTCAACCTCGGAGGCGCAATCAGATCAAGTGTATAAGCGCCTACACTTGATCCGTTATTGACTATGACATTCAATGTCTCTGTCATTTCCTGGGGACTTATTCCCTCAGGCCTCGAAGGACTTATTCCTTCGTCTTCCCGGGGACTTATTCCCGCGGGTTTCGGGGAACTTATTTCCGCCGTATTTGTAATCTTGGGACTTATTCCCTTTACTTCCTGTAGCTGGGGTTGCGCAACCACAGCGAGATCCTCTACGAAAGACTCTCCAGTCGATCTAGGATTATCGTTTCGCTTAACCTGAGCGATCGATTGCCTTCCCCTTCTAGATGTTCCCCGCTAGGGATACATCTTTGTCCCAGTCCACCCGACTTATTCGAGTGGTGGACCTTCGGCGCAGCCTGTGTTTCCTCACAGCCGCCGGAACTTTGCTCCGAAGTGTAACTGTTTGGTTACACTAAGGTTTTGTGCAGTCGTACTAACGACCGTACCACAAGTGAGGCCATCGCACTCACTCGTAGTACATCCACACGCTTGTGGACGCTCTCCAAAACGTTCATCAGATGGCCATCTGATGAACAAGCGGCAGGCATCGTTACTGTTTGATGTTGCCAGTTTACCCGTGGTTCGTACCTTCTGAGCCACGGTATTCCAAGGATGACATCAAATTTGTCATCCAAATCCAATACGATAAAGTCATCGTCATATTGGGTATCTTCTAGCGTATAGTGGATCTTCACTATACGCTTCATGACGGTTACGGATGCGGCCTGTCGCAAGACGTACCGTCATCCTCGTAGGAGGTGTGGTCACATTCACTGAACTTTAAAGTGACCATCTTCTAGCGATTGGCGTCGCACAAAATTGTTGGACGCCCCACAATCGACTAGAGCTCGAAGGGACAACTTATTCGTCACTTCGAGTTTCAAGGTAATGAGTGAGATCTCATTACCTAGAGCAGCAACGCACAACGTTTGTGTGTTGGGAGCAACCTTCATCAAGAGGCCTACAAATTCTCTTGACGTTGCTGGACCAGTAGGTTGCTCCGCACCTACTGATCCTGTCCGTTTTTTGACGGTCCATCCCGTTGTTGCGTCTTTGCACCAACTGCGGACCCTCGTCCCTGCCCCTTTCTCATGGGTGGACGGTCACTACGCCCAGTGTCGCGAGACACTGGACGAGGGGCACCACACTCGTAAGCGTAGTGTCCTGTCTTTGACATCTGTTGCATCTCTGCAACTTCTTGTAGCCTGTAGAGCGAGTCTTCTCGCTCTCTACATAACAGAGTTCCATCGGCTCTGGATCTTCCGTTGTCATATCGTCTCGGTTGACGATATGATGTCGAGCTGGCGCGAGCCTGTCTCAGACTGAAGTCTTCCTGCTCCGCAATGGAAATGGCTTGTTCTAGTGAATCTAGTTCAAGCCGGAACAGGTGAGTCTTGACGGGACCATCCTCAAGACCCTGCATGAACACCGAAACCAACGTGTGTTCATCCACCGGATTGGAACTTATACAACTCGTGAGATGTCGTATATGTTGAGCGTAAGCGTGCACATCACGCTTACCTCTGCTTGAGCTTCAAGAGTTCGGTTCGAGCCCTGAACTCAGCTCTAGGCGGTTCAAACGTTTGTCTGAGCCGCGACTTGAAGACTTCCAACGACCCAAACGCATATGGGTCGTGCAGCTTGAGCCCCAGTGCCCAAGTCTTGGCACGTCCTGCCAGATTTGATTGGGCAAATGCAACTTGCATATCCCCGTCGTCGATGCGACGCGCCCTTATGGCGTCATCCACCTGACGAACCATCTCAAGAGGGAGTCTTCTTCGACCCCCCTATACTTGGAGATGTCAATCTTCAAAGTCTCGGGCCGACGCGAGTGCATCGACCCGCCAGCAGCAGCTCTGCTGCTGTCTCAACAGTCCAAACTGTTGAGCACCTTGTCCTCTCAACAACTCTGCTTGTTGAGAACCTTGTTGGTGAAGCAAGGCTACTTTCTCGCGTACAGCGTCAAGTTCATTTTGAATGAACTTGGCGATAGTAGCATGTTGGGCATCTCTATTGAGAGCCTCTAGCATGACGCTAACAGCATGGATGCCCATGGTTGAACCCATTCGTTCAACCGCATACCATTCGACATCGCTCAAATGGGAGTAGCCGTCACACGTAGCGTGAAAGCTTTGGTCATCTTCATCATCCAACATATTCATGTTGGATGTGAACGCGGTCCTTGGACGGACTACAAAGTGCTACCAGGTGTAACGGGCACCCTGAACCTTGTACTGGTGACAGTACAAGCTACTTATTCTAATGACAGAATAAGGCGATGCCTCGTAACTTCACGTACACTCGTACGTGCAGAGGAAGACGGTAAGAAGAAGCGAGTACTTGGTTAGAGTAAAAAGTAGAACTGTATTGATCATAGTTAATGTCTGCAATAAATCACTATTTATCTTCATCTAACTATGTCTGAATACAAATGTGTAAACCAACTATCTGCTCACCACTCATTGCGTGCGTCTGTCGTAGCGGTCTTCTTTGGTTGACGTAATGGCCTACATCAACCAATCAGGAACTACTCGTAAGTGCTACAGAAAAGTTGTCCTGACGACAATATTCTGAGAATATAACTCTTATAGTTATATTCTATTAACAATTTCCTTATAAATTGTTATGTAACGATTCACCCCGTTACATCACCCCCCTAACCATCAGTCACTTTAGTGACTGATTGACTTAATGGATACTCGTCCCAAATCAGTTGGGACAGGTTTGCACTTGTTGGTCCGAGTCCACTTTCCAACATCTCATCGCATGGTTAACAAGCCCATGCGATGCGCGAGCAAGGCGCGCCGAGAGCGCGTCCGCACGTCTTTGTGAGGACGCTGAAGCAGAAACCACAGCAACTGATGTCTCATCGGTTGCTGAAGCGACTCAGCCTGTGTCACCTGGTGATGCAGGCGCTCGTCATGAAGACACTCGTGTCTTCACAGAGTATGAGCTCGGTGTCTCATACTCTCCCGATACGGAAGATGGATCTGTATCGACGGCAATCGATACCAAGCCGCCTGCCAAGCGTGGCATGGATGACGCTATGCGTCGTAGCTTCTTTGGTTCATCTGATGAATTAGATGAACCATCGCCGAAGCGAAGGCGCTCGAGGTCGCGAGACTCGGGCGCTAATAGTGGTGTCGGTTCTCCTATGGACACCACTTCACAGCGAGGTGCCAGTACTTCTGTCGGCACGTCGCAGGAAGAGCGGGACCGCAATGTGTTGCGTCTCGCTCCAGAAAAGAAGGCATGGATGCCTCCTAAATCAGTCATGGATCACTTGTCGGCGACGACGAGTGATCGTTATCGAACACGATTGTTCGATTCGTCAAGGATCCATCACCTTGACCCCAGCGCGAAAGACTATCGCGCTGAGAATGAATTCTTCATCGATGCTTTTCTTCAGACATCGATGATAATACAGCGGAATCACACAAACGTGATGGTCCCTCACTACTTCAGGCGTGGAACGCCTACATCCATAACCTCGAGGATGTAGGTCGTGACGCTTGGGAACGACAAACTTATCAAAGCTCGTGATAAGTTTGAAAAGCGAACCCCGACAGGTGCACGCTACAAGCTGCATCGTCTGTCAAGGGAGAAAGGATTACCCTGCCTCTCATGGGGAGACTCGTGCCCATGTTTTGTGAACAACTCTGCACGAGCACCTAAGGAGGCTTACCTCCTTACCAGCCCGTGGTGGCGCGTACGTATCTCTACCAAGATGTACGAAGGGATTGACAACCTGAAATCCCTTTACGACCGTGCCGGGAAGACTTTCTCCGGCGGTCCTTCTGCGGCACAGGATGTGCCGCGTCGTACTGCTCAACCAGACCCAGTACGTTCAATCATCAGTTGGGAGCGGGGCTCCCAAGTATCCCAGGATGGGGGATAGCCGCGCCACCGGACGAGATAACTCGTCCGACGTCCAGTTCAAGTCGCGGTGGTTCAACAGCTGCTCAACTAGATAGCGCTGGCCACCGCGAGAGTCCTCTAATGGAGGTGGAGGAGGAGGAATGGAGGAAAGACGCTCCGCTCCACACGATCATGGGGATCCGTGTGTTCCCCAAGAGCTTCTTTGATCGCGTAACGCAAGGGTTACGCAACGATCTCGAGCATGAGCGGAACAGGCGTCTCCAAATGGCGGACACTGTCTCGAAGCATCGAGCTGAGTTTGCCTTTGCTCAGCTTGAGAACGAGAGAGCTCTGACATCTCTTCGTGACGAGCTAAGGGTAGCTCGTGGGATTGTTGATCGGTCTCGGGATGAGATAAATGCTCTTTAGATCCTTGTCGATGCCCATCATCGGGAGCACAAGGCTCTCTGCGAGATGCTTGAGCGCAAGGGCGTTCTTCATCGGAAGAAGCAGCGTACTGATGGTACGGCTTAAGCCGACCAACGTAAAACGTGGGATGCGTTCGCATCTTACGTGGTAACTCGATCGTGTATGCATTGCCTAGGCGGTGCAATACACGAAATGGGCCAAGTGTACTTGGGTAGTAGTTTACTGCTACCCAAGTTAGTCACTACATGCTTTGGAAGATTAACCGTAGACAGTAGGACTAAGTCACCTTTATCAAATGAAAGAGTGCTTGCCCTTCCATTCTTGTCAGCGTTTTGCTTTTTGCTTATCCACCGCTTCGGCGATGGAGTCTTGCACAAACCGGACTACCGTTTCACGAGCCAGTATGAACTCATCTGATGACTCGTTAGCTTCAGTGTGCTGTGAGCGCACTGCAGCAACAACAACCTTTTCTTCAGTGAGGGCTTCCGCACTCCTCACTGGCATCATTGTCTTCAGTGAGGGCTTCCGCACTCCTCACTGGCATCATCTTCTTCGATATCGATGTTATCGATATCGGCATCATACGCAATGACTTCTTCGTCAGAGCGTGATGAGCGTGAACCAAATCGGTTTTTGCTCGCGCGAGTCCCTCCCCCTTAAACCAAAGTTACACTCTAGTAAGGTGGGTACACGCGGATGGCGCAAGCCATTCACGTAAAACGGTGTATGTGTCGTGGACGCATGCACCGAGTTGTTAATAGCAAACTCTACCATTGGCAAAAACTCACTCTAACTCTTAAAGGAGTGTACGTACCCTCGAAGTATCTCTTCAAGGACACGATTGGCACGTTCCGTCTGACCATCTGACTCTGGATGATCAGTTTTCGACATCTTCAAGCGCGTTCCGAGTGATTTGAACACGGAACGCCAGAAATCAGCAGTGAATCGTGGATCTCTGTCTGATACGAGTTCACGGGGCAACCCATGAAGTCGGAAGATGGTGTCAATAAAGACAAAAGCACAGCCATTTGCCGTGATTGTCTCTGGTACAGCCACAAGGTGTACCATTTTGCTGAATCTGTCAACAAATACGAGAATACCCGTATTCCCGCGTGCGTCTTTGGGTAACCCGACGAAATCCATTGAGATGGATTCCCAGCACTCAGCCGGAACCGTTAGAGGCTGTAAAGGTGCACGCAGTGAAGGACTTGACTTCACTCGTTGGCAGACTTCGCATGCGCGAACATACTTTCGCACAAACTGATACTGGCGGGGCCAGTAAAAGTCTCGACTCACCGTGAGATATGTTTTCTCTCGGCCACGATGTCCTCCTATAGGAGCATCGTGATACTCGAACATGATCCGCAAACGCAGATCAGTATCATCTGGAATGACAACACGTGGTGTGTCACCAGAAACGACTGTATAATATAGTAGACCGTTACGAGTAGTGTATCGGTCTGATGCAGATCGATACGCAGACGATAATCGTTTCAACGATTCTCGGGATGGTTGGGAGAGATGTGACAACAACTTCACAATCTCACCATCTTGGGCGTTTGCCCGCCTCACATCATCATACAACGTTGTAGATGGGACTGAGGACGTCATAACCGCAACAGTGACTGTCTCACTGTTGGGTTCGCGACTGGTTCAAATTCGGGACGACGTGATAGTGCATCAGCGACGACATTAAGTCGTCGTGGTTTGTACTCGACCGTAAAGTTGTACTCCGCAAAGAATGACAACCACCGCGCCATTCGTTGTGAAAGGTGCGGGCTGTTCACTGCCGTGCGTAATGACGCATGGTCAGTGTAAACAACGAAGGTTCTATCTCCTAATAGATAGACTCTGAACTTCGCGAGTGCATACTTCATGGCAAGGAGTTCCTTGTCATGCACTGGATAGTTCCGCTCAGCTGGTTGCAGCTGACGCGACTGTTAGCAGACGACGCGTTCAACGCCTTCAAGATCGTACTGCATTAGTGCACAGCCGATTGCGAAATCGCTGGCATCACAGACCACATGAAATGGCCTGTCCTGATCGGCTATTGCTAGGACTGGGGATTGTATCAAGCTCTGCTTGATACCCTCAAAGGAGCGTTGACATTCAGCGTTCCATAACCACCTCTCGTTCTTTTTCAACAAACGAGAGAGGTGCACAGTCATCTCGGCGTAATTGCGTGAATACTTATGCAAATACGCCGCTAGCCCAAGGAATTTTCGAAGACCTTTGACATCGACCGGCACAGGCCAGTCGGTGATCGCCTTGATCTTTTTGGGATCAGGACGTACACCGTTCTTACCAACGATGCACCCAAGAAGTGGTATTTCGCTTGCTGCAAATACACACTTCTTGAGGTTTGCATACAATTGATGCTTTCGCATGATTGTAAGAACCTGTCGGACGTGGTACCTGTGAACCTCAACGTCCGACTTTCCATCCATAGCTCGACTATGGATGAATACGTCATCGAAATAACTCGGCGCAAATTCTCGTACTGGCCTCAACAGATGTGATACACATCTGTTGAACGTGGCAGGGGCATTACTAGGCCCTTGTGGCATTACTAGCCATTCCCAGAGCATGCCGCTAGGCGTGCTAACTGCGGTATAGGGTATATCCCGTTCCCGCATAAGGATTTGATAGAAGCCATCCATCAAATCCATGGACGCAAAGATGGTACTCTTTGACATACCATCAATGATTACGTCCTTCCTCGGTATCGGCGTCTGAGCCGGTACCGTTGCATCATTCAACTTGTTAAATGCATGCACTATCCGCCACTCTCCTGTTGCTTTTCGCACACAGAAGGTCGGAGAGCTATGTGGGGAAGTTGATTCCCTCACATGGCCCGCAGCTAAACGATCGGCAAAGAACTTGTCGATCGCAAGTACTTGTTCACGAGGCAGTGGCCACTGCTTCATGACACAGTACTTCGAGCCTGGTTTAAGCTCGACCTCGTGTCGAATACCTTTATCCTTCGGTAATTCGCACGGAACAGTTACAGGGAATACATCCTTGAATTCAACCAAATCTTCATAGAGAGGATTTGTCTTGAGCGATTCCCACGATTGGGGGTCATATCGCACAATTCGTGGCTTTTCCACCAGGACACTCTCCTCCATAGATGAAATACTGAGGACTCTCTCGTTCTCAATGAACACGCTGGTGGCCTTTTTTTAATTTCCCCCCCCGCCGCGGGGGGGGGGGAGGGCAGGTCGTGTCGGTTCCCCCCGACACCAAGATCACGCAAGAACCTTTTATGTTCGAGCGTTGGCAACTGAGTGATCTCCGAAGTCAACTTCGGAGGCGCAATCAGATCAAGTGTATAAGCGCCTACACTTGATCCGTTATTGACTATGACATTCAATGTCTCTGTCATTTCCTGGGGACTTATTCCCTCAGGCCTCGAAGGACTTTTTCCTTCGTCTTCCCGGGGACTTATTCCCGCGGGTTTCGGGGAACTTATTTCCGCCGTATTTGTAATCTTGGGACTAATTCCCTTTACTTCCTGTAGCTGGGGTTGCGCAACCACAGCGATATCCTCTACGAAAGACTCTCCAGTCGATCTAGGATTATCGTTTCGCTTAACCTGAGCGATCGATTGTTTTTCTTCTAGATGTTCCCCGCTAGGGATACATCTTTGTCCCGGTCCACTCGACTTATTCGAGTGGTGAACCTTCGGCGCAGCCTGTGTTTCCTCACAGCCGCCGGAACTTTGCTCCGAAGTGTAACCGTTTGGTACACTAAGGTTTTGTGCAGTCGTACTAACGACCTTACCACAAGTGAGGCCATCGCACTCACTCGTAGTACATCCACACGCTTGTGGACGCTCCAAAACGCTCATCAGATGGCCATCTGATAAGCAAGCGGCAGGCATCGTTACTGTTTGATGTTGCCAGTTTACCCGTGGTTCGTACCTTCTGAGCCACGGTATTCCAAGGATGACATCAAATTTGTCATCCAAATCCAATACGATACAGTCATCATCATATTGGGTATCTTCTAGCGTATAGTGGATCTTCACTATACGCTTCATGACGGTTACGGATGCGCCTGTCGCAAGACGTACCGTCATCCTCGTAGGAGGTGTGTCACATTCAATAAACTTAAAGTGACCATCTTCTAGCGATTGGCGTCGCACAAAATTGTTGGACGCCCCACAATCGACTAGAGCTCGAAGGGACAACTTATTCGTCACTTCGAGTTTCAAGGTAATGAGTGAGATCTCATTACCTAGAGCAGCAACGCACAACGTTTGTGTGTTGGGAGCAACCTTCATCAAGAGGCCTACAAATTCTCTTGACGTTGCTAGACCAGTATGGTGCTCCGCACCTACTGATCCTGTCCGTTTTTTGACGGTCCATCCCGTTGTTGCGTCTTTGCACCAACTGCGGACCCGCGTCCCTGCCCCTTTCTCATGGGCGGACGGTCACTACGCCCAGTGTCGCGAGACACTGGACGAGGGGCACTACACTCGTAAGCGTAGTGTCCTGTCTTTTGACATCTGTTGCATCTCTGCAACTTCTTGTAGTCTGTAGAGCGTCTTCTCGCTCTCTACATAACAGAGTTCCATCGGCTATAGACCTCCGTTGTCATATCGTCTCGGTTGACGACATGATGTCGAGCTGGCGCGAGCCTGTCTCAGACTGAAGTCTTCCTGCTCCGCAATGGAAATGGCTTGTTCTAGTGAATCTAGTTCAAGCCGGAACAGGTGAGTCTTGACGGGACCGTCCTCAAGACCCTGCATGAACACCGAAACCAACGTGTGTTCATCCACCGGATTGGAACTTATACAACTCGTGAGATGTCGTATATGTTGAGCGTAAGCGTGCACATCACGCTTACTCTGCTTGAGCTTCAAGAGTTCGGTTCGAGCCCTGAACTCAGCTCTAGGCGGTTCAAACGTTTGTCTGAGCCGCGACTTGAAGACTTCCAACGACCCAAACGCATATGGGTCGTGCAACTTGAGCCCCAGTGCCCAAGTCTTGGCACGT